AGTACCCCACTGCAGGCTAGAGCATAATATTCTGACACACCCCCATAGCCAAAGTGGGGTGTAATCAGCAGAGAAAGCAAAGCAGTACAAGCTCAGGGTGGATCACAATGTCACCACACATTCTGAGCACATTCTAAGCAATAGTTTAAAGTGCACAATTATGAGCAAAGCTAGAGGCAGTTACAGAGGGCAAGTGAGGAGGAGGAGGGCTGGCGAGAGGAGAGAAGAGTGGAGGCGACGACTGAAGCTGCAGACACACGGGCAACAGACGGCTCTGGTGCAACTCTAGTGGCTACCGGGAGCAAGGGCCCCGGAATACAGGAGTAACAGGCTCTGCGTCTGATCAGCAGCGACAGGAGCAACGGACCCACGGGCGACAGGTGCAACCGGCTCTCTGAGCTACCGGTGGCTATCAGAACCCCGGAATACAGGCGCTGCAGACGACACGACGGCTGCCTCCACCCAACCTCCTCCAACTGTCCCACACCCCCCAACACACACCCCCTGCTGAAACCCTAGCTCCACTCCCATGGCACCCCCCTTAAACCCTAAACCCTCGGCTCCCACACACCCACCCCCCTGAGCAGCAGCTGCAGCAGTGGGAGACGGAGGAGGAGGAGGAGCAGGGGACGGCTGACAGAGACGGCACCCCCATACGCTCCACCCCCAAACCCTAATTCAGGAGTACGGGCAGCAGCAGGGGTGGGGCGCCGTCAGAAGCGCGAGGGACGGCGTGCAGCTCAGTGGGAGAGGAGACCGGGCGCCCGCGGGCCAGGCGCAGCCCGTACGAACCGCGCGCAGGCGGCCCGAGGCGCGCGCGGGCCAGGCGCAGCCCGTACGGGCCGCGCGCGGGCCTGGCGCAGGCCGTACGGGCCGCGCGCGGGCCTGGCGCCGCCCGTACGAGCAGCGCTCGGGTTGTACGGGCCGCGCGCGGGCCTGGCGCAGCCCGTACGGGCCGCGCGCGTGCAGGACAGGCCGCGCGCGGGCCTGGCGCAGCCTGTACGGGCCGCGCTCGTGCAGTACGGGCCGCGCACGGGCGACGGGGGCGACGCGCGGGTCCCCGGGGGCGCTTCGGCGGGCGACGGGGGGAGAAAACCGCCGCGCGCCTCGGGGCGCACGGCGGGCAGAGAACCGCCGCGCGCCTCGGGGCGCACGGCGGGCAGAAAACCGCCGCACACCTCGGGGCGCACGGCGGGATGAAAAATCCGTCGCACGCCACGAGGCGTGCGACACACAGTAGTAGTAGCAGCAGTAGCAGTAGCAGTAGCAGCGGAAGGCTTAGGTGGTGGGCCCACCCACAGGATCGACCCAGGAGGGTCGACCTGCTCTGATAGCATGTCAGAACTAGCTGTAGAAAGTAAGAATGAAGAAAGGAGGGGTTTGCACTAGCAGCAGTTGGCATACATATAGGAAACCCTAATTGGGTTGTACTCGCTATAGAGTACCCCACTGCAGGCTAGAGCATAATATTCTGACAGAGTGTTTGTGTGATTCGACTCAAATGTCGCCCAAAGGATGAGTGTTTGTGTGAGTTGACTCAAATGTCGCCCAAAGGATGAGTGTTTTTCTGAGTCGACTCAAATGTCGCCCAAAGGATGAGTGTTTGTGTGAGTCCATTCAAATGTCGCCCAAAGGATGAGTGTTTGTGTGAGTCGACTCAAATGTCGCCCAAAGGATGAGTGTTTGTGTGAGTCGACTCAAATGTCGCCCAAAGGATGAGTGTTTGTGTGAGTCGACTCAAATGTAACCTAAAGGATGAGTGTTTGTGTGAGTCGACTCAAATGTCGCCCAAGAAATGAGTTTTTTTCTGAGTCGACTCAGATGTCGCCCAAAGGATGAGTGTTTGTGTGAGTCGACTCAAATGTCGCCCAAAGGATGAGTGTTTGTGTGAGTTGACTCAAATGTTGCCCAGAGGATGAGTGTTTCTGTGAGTCCACACAATTGTCGCCCAAAGGATGAGTGTTTTTCTGAGTCGACTCAAATGTCGCCCAAAGGATGAGTGTTTGTGTGAGTCGACTCAAATGTCGCCCAAAGGATGAGTGTTTGTGTGACTCAAATGTCGCCCAAAGGATGAGTGTTTGTGTGAGTCGACTTAAATGTCGCCCAATGGATGAGTTTTTTTCTGAGTCGACTCAAATGTCGCCCAAAGGATGAGTGTTTGTGTGAGTCGACTCAAATGTCACCCAAAGGATGAGTGCTTGTGTGAGTTGACTCAAATGTTGCCCAGAGGATAAGTGTTTGTGTGAGTCGACTCACATGTCGCCCAAAGGATGAGTGTTTTTCTGAGTCGACTCAAATGTCGCCCAAAGGATGAGTGTTTGTGTGAGTCGACTCAAATGTCGTCCAAGGAATGAGTTTTTTTCTGAGTCGACTCAAATGTCGCCCAAAGGATGAGTGTTTGTGTGAGTCGACTCAAATGTCACCCAAAGGATGAGTGTTTGTGTGAGTCGACTCAAATGTCGCCCAAAGGATGAGTGTTTGTGTGAGTCGACTCAAATGTCGCCCAAAGGATGAGTGTTTGTGTGAGTTGACTCAAATGTCGCCCAAAGGATGAGTGTTTGTGTGAGTCCTCACAATTGTCGCCCAAAGGATGAGTGTTTGTGTGAGTCGACTCAAATGTCGCCCAAGAAATGAGTTTTTTTCTGAGTCGACTCAAATGTCGCCCAAAGGATGAGTGTTTGTGTGAGTCGACTCAAATGTCGCCCAAAGGATGAGTGTTTGTGTGAGTCGACTCAAATGTCGCCCAAAGGATGAGTGTTTGTGTGAGTCGACTCAAATGTCGCCCAAGAAATGAGTTTTTTTCTGAGTCGACTCAAATGTCGCCGAAAGGATGAGTGTTTGTGTGAGTCGACTCAAATGTCGCCCAAGAAATGAGTTTTTTTCTGAGTCGACTCAAATGTCGCCCAAAGGATGACTGTTTGTGTGAGTCGACTCAAATGTCGCCCAAAGGATGATTGTTTGTGTGAATTGACTCAAATGTCACCCAAAGGATGAGTGTTTGTGTGAGTCGACTCAAATGTCGCCCAAAGGATGAGTGTTTGTGTGAGTTGACTCAAATGTCGCCCAAAGGATGAGTGTTTGTGTGAGTCGACTCAAATGTCGCCCAAAGGATGAGTGTTAGTGTGAGTCGACTCAAATGTCACCCAAAGGATGAGTGTTTGTGTGAGTCGACTCAAATGTCGCCCAAAGGATGAGTGTTTGTGTGAGTCGACTCAAATGTCGCCCAAAGGATGAGTGTTTTTCTGAGTCGACTCAAATGTCGTCCAAAGGATGAGTGTTTGTGTGAGTCGACTCAAATGTCGCCCAAAGGATGAGTGTTTGTGTGAGTCGACTCAAATGTCGCCCAAGAAATGAGATTTTTCTGAGACCACTCAAATGTCGCCCAAAGGATAAGTGTTTGTGTGAGTCGACTCAAATGTTGCCCAAAGGATGAGTGTTTGTGTGAGTCGACTCAAATGTCACCCAAAGGATGAGTGTTTGTGTGAGTCGACTCAAATGTCGCCCAAAGGATGAGTATTCGTGTTAGTCGACTCAAATGTCGCCCAAGGGATGAGTATTTTTCAGAGTCGACTCAGATGTCGCCCAAAGGATGAGTGTTTGTGTGAGTCGACTCAAATGTTGCCCAAAGGATGAGTGTTTGTGTGAGTCGACTCAAATGTCGCCCAAAGGATGAGTGTTTTTCCGACTTGACTCAAATGTCGCCCAAAGGATGAGTGTTTGTGTGAGTCGACTAAAATTTCACCCTAAGGATGAGTGTTTGTGTGAGTCAACTCAAATGTCGCCCAAGAAATGAGTTTTTTTCTGAGTCGACTCAAATGTCGCCCAAAGGATGAGTGTTTGTGTGAGTCGACTCAAATGTCGCCCAAAGGATTTTTGTTTGTGTGAATTGACTCAAATGTCACCCAAAGGATGAGTGTTTGTGTGAGTCGACTCAAATGTCGCCCAAAGGATGAGTGTTTGTGTGAGTTGACTCAAATGTCGCCCAAAGGATGAGTGTTTTTCTGAGTCGACTCAAATGTCGCCCAAAGGATGAGTGTTTGTGTGAGTCGACTCAAATGTCGCCCAAAGGATGAGTGTTTTTCTGAGTCGACTCAAATGTCGCCCAAAGGATGAGTGTTTGTGTGAGTCGACTCAAATGTCGCCCAAATGATGAGTGTTTGTGTGAGTCGACTCAAATGTCACCCAAAGGATGAGTGTTTGTGTGAGTCGACTCAAATGTCGCCCAAAGGATGAGTATTTGTGTTAGTCGACTCGAATGTCGCCCAAGGGATGAGTTTTTTTCTGAGTCGACTCAGATGTCGCCCAAAGGATGAGTGTTTGTGTGAGTCGACTCAAATGTTGCCCAAAGGATGAGTGTTTGTGTGAGTTGACTCAAATGTTCCCCAAAGGATGAGTGTTTTTGTGAGTCCACACAATTGTCGCCCAAAGGATGAGTGTTTTTCTGAGTCGACTCAAATGTCGCCCAAAGGATGAGTGTTTGTGTGAGTCGACTCAAATGTCGTCCAAGGGATGAGCGGCTAACCTACCATGTCTGCCTCCCGCCGGCCGCCTTCACCACGATGTACGATACTGACGCCGACGACCTGGCGTACGACGACGCCGAGGACGACGAGGAGTTTCCGGAGCTCGACCCCGACATGCACGCCGACCCCGAGCACCGCTGGGACATCGCGACGATGACGGTGAAGGAGGCGTTGGCCAGCTGGAAGGGCAAGGCGGTGAAGGCCGCCATGGACAAGGAAATCCGCAGTCTGATCGGCAACGGCACGTGGGAGCTCGTTGAGCGGCCCCCCGGCGTCAACATCATGAAGAACCGGTGGGTGCTGACTACGAAGTACCACATTGAGGACACCGTCGAGCGCGAGAAGGCAAGGCTGGTCGTGAAATGTTTCACGCAGGTGTATGGCGCCGACTACGACGAGACGTACGCACCGGTGAGCAGCTACGTCACGCTGAGGATCTTCCTCAGCATCGTCGCCGTCCTCGACCGCGTGCTCTACATGTACCAGCCGGACTACTACAACGATGGGTCCGGCCGGGTGTGCAAGCTGCTGAAGAGCCTCTACGGGCTGAAGCAGTCGCCGCTGCTGTGGTACAAGGCGCTCAACGACGTGCTGGTCGGCGCCGGCTGGAGGAAGAGTCAGGTCGACGAGGCGCTGTACTTCAAGGTCGGCGCCGACAAGGTGGCATGCTGGGTGCTGGTCTACGTCGACGACCTGCTCGCCGCCAGCAGCAGCACTGCGATGCTGAGGGAGCTGAAGGAGCTGCTGGAGGCCGCCTTCGAGCTGCGTGAGATCTCGCCGGTGCAGAAGTACCTCGGCCTGGAGATCGTGCGCGACAGGTCGGCGAGGAAGCTGTGGCTGCACCAGCAGGGCTACGCCGACAAGCTGCGTAGGCGTTTCATCGACGAGGAGCAGGGTGGTCGGACCCCGAAGACGCCGGTCTCCGTCGACGCCTACGCCGAGCTCACCTTCGACGACGAGGAGGCGCAGGAACGCCAGGAGGAGGAGTACCGGCAGAAGGTCGGCTCGCTGCAGTTCGCGGCGACGACGACGAGGCCGGACATCGCCTTCGCCTACAGCAAGCTGGGGAGCGGACTCACGGTGAGGAGTGACCAGCACTGGCGCGAGGTCGACCGCTGCCTCGCCTACCTCACCAACACGCGCGACACCGCCCTGGAGTTCGGCGGTGGTCCGGAGACGCTGGAGCTGGTCGGCTACGTTGATGCCGACGACGCCAGCGACAAGCAGAACCGGACGAGCACGGGAGGCTACGTGTTCGTCTACGGAGGGGCCGCAGTCTCCTGGTCGAGCCAGCGCATCAAGTGCGCGACGCTGTCGTCGACCGAGTCTGAGTACGTGGCGGCCGTCGACGCCGGGAAGGAAGGACGCCGACTTCGCTTCCTCCTGGCAGAGTTCCGGCAGCTGGACGCCGGGAAGCCGACTGTCCTTCGGGTGGACAACAAGTCGGCCATCACAGTCGCCGAGGGCATGGGGTTGATGGGCAACCTCAAGCACATGGAGCGACGACAGGGCGCGGGAAGTTCGCGTTGAGCTACATCTCGGCCACCGAGCAGCCGGCCGACTTCTTGACGAAGGCGCTGCACTACCCGGCCTTCAACCGGTGTTCCGCCGCGATCGGCCAAGTGCGCTTGGCTGAAGTCGGCGACAGCGACAACAACGTGCAGCAGTAGGTGTCATGCCCTCTTGCATGGCTGGTGCGGTGACCGGCGTGCTGTGTGTTGGGTGCACGCCGCCGAGCTATCTTCCGAGCTGTGCTGCCGTGTAGGCTGGGGGGGGCCAAGCGTGAACGCGGCAGGGGAGTGTCAACGGGAGTTGTGTTCGGCCCCGTCCTCGCTTGGGCGGAGCCGACCTCGTGGTCGGTTGTGCGGGGGGATGCAGCCGACCTGCAGCAGTGGGCACGGAGGCCACTGCAAGGGCGTAGAGCAAGTGGACGCCGACCAGGGCGTCTGCTCGGCGTCCTGGGCGCCTGGACGCCGACCAGGGCGTTTGCACGGCGTCCTGGGAGGAAGGACGCTGAGCTCGGCGTCTGCTCGGCGTCCTGGGCGCCTGGACGGCGTCCTGGGCGCCTGGACGCCGACTTGGGCGTCTGCTCGGCGTCCTGGGAGGCTGGACGCCGACCTGGGCGCTTGCTCGGCGTCCCGGGCGTCTAAACGCCTTCTTGGGCGCCTGGACAGCGTGCCGGGCGCCTGGACGCCGACCTGGACGCCAGGACGCCGACCTGGGGACGCCGGGCTTGGCGTAGCCGGCGTCCGACTGGGCTGGACGACCAGGCGGGGTTGCCCGGTCGACCAGGATACCCGGGCGACGTGTGCGAAGGTCGTCGAAAGGTGGTTTCTGCGAGGACGACCTCGGGGGTGGTATCCCGAGGTCGACGTGGCAGGTGGGCGTCATCACGGGCGAAATGACTGCGCTAGGCACGTGACGGGGTGTTGGACGCCAACCAGCCGCGCACACCTGCGAAGCAGGTGCACCGTTGTCCTGCGGGTGCAACGCTGTACAGCCGACATGCTGCAGCGTTGGCATACCGTGGACATGCAACGTTGGCGCGCCGCATCTCTGCAGCGCTGGAGCGGTGCGAGCATTGCTGCGCTGGAACGCGGTCGACCGTGCTGCGCTGGAGGTCGACCAGCAGCCTAGCTAGCTCTGATGTAGTCTGTGTTGCCAACGTTATTGTATTAATTCTGAACTTTTCCTAGTGGAACTCTTGCCAATTCTCCCCGTGAACTAGCAAGTAGTGTGCGCACAAGGATGTCAGAATCACTAGGCAAGAATGATTGAAAGGAGAGGGGTTGAACTAGCAGGCAGTTGAGTACAAATAGCAAACCCTAGATTGGGCTGTACTCGCTATAGAGTACCCCACTGCAGGCTAGACAATAATAGCATTCTGACACACCCCCATAGCCAAAGTGGGGTGTAATCAGCAGAGCAAGCAAAGCAGTACAAGCTCAGGGTGGATCACAATGTCACCACACATTCTGAGCACAAGTTCAAGAAGCAATAGTTTAAAGTTCACAGTTATGAGCAAAGCTAGAGGCAGTCACAGAGGGCAAGCGAGGAGGAGGAGGGCTGGCGAGAGGAGAGAAGATGAAAGGCGCCGACTGAAGCTGCAGACACACGGGCAACAGGAGCGGCGCGCACAGTGGCTACCGAGCGCACGAGGGCACCGGACTACGGGAGTATCTGGCTCCGCGGCTACGACGAGCACACACAGGAGCAACGGACCCACAGGCGACTGGCGAAGCAGGCTCGCTGGGCTACCGAAACGCGCGAGGGCATCCGGACTACTGGCGCTGCTGGCGTCACGACGGCTACCTCCACGCAATCTCCCCCGACCGTCCCACGCCCCTCTCACACACCCCCTGCTGACACCCTAGCTCCACTCCGACGGTACCCCCCTTAAACCCCAAACCCTAGGCTCCCACACACCACCCCCCTCAGCGGCAGCTGTAGCAGAGGGAGACGAGGGAGGAGGAGGAGCAGGGGGAGGAACTCACAACCGACACCCCCATAGCCGCCACCCCCACACTCTTCACCCCCAAACCCTAATTTAGGAGAACGGGCTGTAGGAGGGGTGAGGCGCCGGTAGAAGCACGGGGGACAGTGGAGAGGGCAGGAGCAGCGAGGAACGGGCCGCCCACGGGCCTGGTAGAGCCGCCCGAACCGCGCGCAGGCGGCCCGAGCCGCGCGCGGGCCTGGCGCTTCCCGTACGGGCCGCGCGCGTGCCTGGCGCAGCCCGTACGGGCCGCGCGCGGGCCTGGCGCAGCCCGTACGGGCCGCGTGCCGGGTGTACGGGCCGCGCGCAGGCCACGACGGGCGACGGGGGGCGACGCGCGGGTCCCCGTCGCCCGTCGCAGCGCCTCCCGGGGGCGACGTGCCGAGTGACGGGGCAGGAACCCGCCGCGCGCCTCGGGGCACACGGCGGGCAGAGAACCGCCGCGCGCCTCGGGGCGCACGGCGGGCAGAAAACCGCCGCGTGCCTCGGGGCGCACGGCGGGCTGAAAACCCTAGTTTCGACGCCGCGCGCCACGGGGCGCGCGGCGGACAGGGAGTAGCAGTAGCAGTAGCAGTAGCAGCGGAAGGCTTAGGTGGTGGGCCCACCCACAGGATCGACCCAGGAGGGTCGACCTGCTCTGATACCATGTCAGAATCACTAGGCAAGAATGATTGAAAGGAGAGGGGTTGAACTAGCAGGCAGTTGAGTACAAATAGCAAACCCTAGATTGGGCTGTACTCGCTATAGAGTACCCCACTGCAGGCTAGACAATAATAGCATTCTGACAAAGGAAACGACTAAGTAACACCGAGACCCCTCTCACGCACGTGCCTTCCCCGTAGTCAAGCTCCCGTTGTACGAGTTATCTCCGCAGCGAGCATCATCGGTCATCGGCGCTCGCGAATGAAGAGCGCCTGCTGCACTTCCTGCACATGTGCGGATCCTTCCGCGTTTTGAATTTGGAAGCGCTCGTTCCGAGCGTTTTCTTTTTGCCGGGTCACGTGGCTGCGCTTGTCTGGGCCTATTGCCAAGCCAGCAAGGGCGTGGGAGGGTTGCGAGCATCATCAGTCATCGGCGCTCGCGAATGAAGAGCGCCTGCTGCACTTCCTGCACATGTGCGGATCCTTCCGCGTTTTGGGGCCGGAAGCGCTCGTTCCGATCATTTTTTTTTTTTCCGCCGGGGCACGTGGCTGCTCTTGTCCAGGCCTATTGCCAAGCCAACAAGGGCGTGGGAGGGTTGTGAGCATCATCAGTCATCGGCGCTCGCGAATGAAGAGTGCCCGCTGCACTTCCTGCACACGTGCGGATCCTTCCGCGTTTTGGGGCTGAAAGCCCTCATTCCGAGCGTTTTTCTTCCGCCGAGTCACGTGGCTGCGCTTGTCTGGGCCTATTGCCAAGCCAGCAAGGGTGTGGGAGGGTTGCGAGCATCATTGGTCATCGGCGCTCGCGAATGAAGAGCGCCTGCTGCACTTCCTGCACATGTGCGGATCCTTCCGCGTTTTGGGGCTGGAAGTCCTCATTCCGAGCGTTTTTCTTCCGCCGAGTCACGTGGCTGCGCTTGCCTGGTCCTCTTGCCAAGCCAGCAGGGGCGTGGGAGGGTTGCGAGCATCATCGGTCATCGGCGCTCGCGAATGAAGAGCGCCCGCTGCACTTCCTGCACATGTGCAGATCCTTCCGCGTTTTGGGGCTGAAAAATCGGGTATGAGAAATATTTTCATCGGATTTTTCAGACATGCTATAAAGTTTCGTCTGAATATGCAGATAACGATTTTTCTCTCGTCTGACAATGAGATTTCCCCAATTGCTCGACCCGACGCGAAATGAACTGAATGTGCAATTTAAGTTTGAATTTAGACCATTAGATTCTAGATATAACTATTTCGGTTCACGTGTATTTACTTGCTTATGGAGCATCTCGCTTCTCTTATAGAAGGAAGAAATGTAACTAAGTAGAATATATCAAACGAATCGTCTACAATTCAGACCTTTGAAAGTTTTTCGTCTGAAAAGTCAGACTATCAATTTTTTCGTCTAACGTTCAGACGAAGTAAGAAAACTTGGTCTGATATTCCGAGGAGGGGCTATGTTGCGTTCATTATCATTTTTGGGGTTTCTAGCCCCGACACGCGAGAAAATCCGCACATGCGTAGAAAACTGTCCATTTTTGCCAAAGTCTTAGGGGGTGTTACATTGCGCGATGGTCCATTTACAAGGAAATGGACCAGCTAATGCAAGGGAGTACCACTTTACAGGGACCACTTCTAAAAGTGGCCCCACCTGGTCCCCGCGTGGTACTGGGGACCATTTGCGGCGGACCAGCTATGCACAGTGCATGCAGCTTCGAAAACGAAATGTTAACGAAAATACAAGTGTATCTGGTCACGCTTGAACGAGATGTCGCAACTGGCAGATATTTTTGGCGAAATAAATATAGTGCAGTTGTCGCATGTGATTCTCATCGCCTTGGGTCGCTCTGGAAATGGTCCTCTATGTGGAGCATCATTTTCGTACGTGCGGCTCGAACTGTACTCGCTGGTCCGTGGGCGGGTGCAAGTCGGGTCCACACCTGGTCCGTGGCTGGTCCACGCCAGACCGCGCGGGATTGGCCTGAACCGCTGCGGACCAGCTGTGAAGTGCGCAAATGTAACACCCCCTTATGCCACGTTCATCCCCGACCTAGTCTGCTCTCACTATCGTTTTTGGATTTACGGTGCCTATGAATTGGGATGCTTTCGTCAGCTTCACTAATTTAGAGCTTTGAAAGGTTAACTTAGGTTTCCTTACTGCTATCTCCTGTCCTAAGCACAGCACGATCGTAGTACTAGCGAGCGAGTTCATGTGTCATTATCTTAACGTTTTTTTGTCCTTGCCATGAGGCCATCAGTGGCAGCAGTCGACTGGGTGGAGGACGAGTGGTCCGCGGCGCCGTGCGAGTCGTCGCCGCCAGCCTCCACCGCTGCACCCGCCGCTTCGCCGCTTACCCTAACCGCTCCGCCCAAGCGTCTCAATTCGCTCGCCTCCTCGTTTCTTCCCGCCGCCATCTTCGCGCGTCCTTCGCCGCCGGCCGTCTCGCGGCTCCTCGCCGACGGGGCTGCGGCGGCTGGCGGCGACAGCGATGGCGAGGAGTGCGAGGGTGAGGGCGGGCCGTACGCGGCGTGGGAGGAGGGCGGGGAGGGGGGGAACGACGAGGGTAACGACGGGCGTGCGGAGGCAGGCGGGGCCGGGGAAGGCGGCGTGGGGTCGGCGCTGCTGGCGTGGGGTCGCATCCTCTTTCACCGCCCTCCGCCCGCGTCCCTCTCGCCGCCCTCCACGCTTCTCCAGCCGCTCACTTCCCTCGAAGCGCGAGCCTCCTCCTCCTTCCGCCGGCATGCCGCCACCATTGGCAGCAGCGCCGGCAGCAGCCCGGACGGCGCCCGTTCTCTCGCCGGCAAGCTCTGGGGGGCGCTGGCTCCTCGCTCCACACACGCGCACCTGCTCAGTGACGTCAGCAGTGGTAGCGCCAACATCAGCAGCGCGCCTCCTCACAGTTCGGGAGGGGCAGCGCGCGGAGCTCTGCGGAACGGCGCTCGCAGCTCGGGCATGGCGGGCGAGTCGTTCGAGTCTGCGCGTTCTGCTCGCGAGCACGCTGCGGGCGCACCATGGGGAACCAGGGGGAGAGGCAACTGGTCGGCGGGAGGGGGGACGCTGAGCGCTGTGGGCGCGCAGGGCAGCAGGGAGGGGTTGGGGGGGATGGCGTGTGGTGGTGAGGGTGGTGGGGATGGCGGACGCGCAGGGGCGGTGGGACGAGGCGGGGATGGGCGTGGAGCGCAGGGGAGCGGGGGGCAGGGGTGGGCGCACAAGGTGTTGGAGGTGCTGCCTGTGCTGGCCGTGGTGACTCTCATGGTCTTCGGTACCGTCGCCTACCTCACCGTTGTCGACGCCAGTGAGCTTCCCCCCTCCCTCCCTCCCTCCCTGCGCCGCTCGCCTGCTTCCTCTCTGCTGCCGCACCCCCTGCTCAATTCTTACCCCATCTGCTTGCCCTCCCCCCTGCTCTGTTCTCCCCGCATCGTTTCTTGCATCCCACAATCGCTAGAGCTTTTCTCCCTCTCACCCGTGTTCCCGCTCTTCCTTTCCTTCCCCCCTTCTGCCCGCGCCCTCTCCCTCCCCTGCGGGCGCCAGTCCTGCCGCGCCTGCGCCCGGCCTTCTCCCTGGCGTGTCCGCTGCAGCAGGGCCACTGGGCACTCTCCTCGCGCCGCCCGCTCTACCCGCCGTCCTGCCCCTTCCTCCGGGACGACTTCAACTGCGCCAAGTTCGGCCTATCAGCGCGTGACACGTGGCGCTGGGAGCTGTCGCAGTGCCAGGTGGCGGAGTTCTCAGCGGGGGCGTGGCTGCGGGGCATGGCGGGGCGGCGAGTGGCGTATGTGGGCGACAAGGCCATGGCCAACGCCTTTGACTCGCTGCTCTGCATGCTCGCCCAGGCCGACGCCCCCACGCCCCTCTCTCCCGCCTCGCCCCACCGTGGACTCTCTGCAACCAGCGACCCTCCCCTGCCTGCCACGCACGCGAGGAGAGGAGTTGGTGGCAGCAGCGGCAGGCAGGGGGAGAGCGTGAGGGCGGCTGCTGATGGGCGCGTGTTCATTGGCGCCCTCGACGCCCCCGGTGCTGCCCCAGATCTCCCCCATGCCACCTCGGGTGCTCCCCATGCCGCTTTGGATGCCCCCCCTGCCGCCCTGCATGCAGACCTTGCTGCCACTCCACGCGCAGCACTGCACGCGGGGGCGAGGGGCAGAGGGGGCGCAGGCAGTGATGTGAGGCGAGGCGGGGCGAGGCACAGCGATGGCGGGTGGGGCTGGAACCCCATCAGGTGGGGCGCGTGGACGCGGCAGGGCAGCAGGCAGCGCGTGGGAGCAGCTGATGCTGCCGGCAGTACAGGCGATGCCACGGGGGCCAGCAGCGCCACCAGCCGCGGTGGCTCCTCGCCTGCTGCTGCATCGCCGGTGTCATCTGGCCTGTTTGACATGCAGCCACTGCACTACTGGTTTCCGCGCTACAACTTCACTCTCACACTTCTGCCCTCGCCCTTCCTTGTGAGGACGTCGCTGCACGCGCCAGTCAACGCCACTCTCTGCCAGCTGCAACGCGCTGCTGCCGCCACGCCACTCAACGCTTCCGCTCTCAACCACCAGCACCACCAGCAGCAGCACCACCACCACCAGCGGGGCACCTGCAGGTGAGGTGGCAGAGCATGCAGCGGCCGTGCCACCAGCCGAGGCAAGCAGCGTCAAAGAGGAGGGGATGGCAGGTAGCGATGCGTGCTACCCGAACCGCATGTATGTGGACGAGCCCGACCCCGCATGGGCGCAGCAGGCAGCACAGTTTGACGTGCTGGTGCTGGCATCGGGGCGCAGCTGGACGGAGGAGGCCGTGGAGACCAACGGGCTCAGCATCGTGGCGGGGGGGGTGAGGCGCAGTGAGCTCAGTGTGGAGGGGCTGGTGGGGCAGTGGGCGTACCCCCTTGCCATGGCGGCCGTGGCGTCGTGGCTGGGCAACGCGTCGCACTTCAACGGCACTGCGGTGTTCCGGTCGTTCAGCCCCACGCACCCGCGCAAGGAGTGCGCCGCCCGCACTTTCCTCCCCGATGCCGTGAGACTCTCCCTTGCGCCCCCTTGCTGCTTGCCTTGCCCCCTTTCCTGCTCTTCTGTGCCCTGCTCTGCTCTCTCTGCTCTCTCTGTTTTTGAATTCCCACCCCACTGATGTCGTGCACCCAATTGCCGTCCCCCCTACCTGCGTGGGAGGACAGGAGCATGCAGCAGACGTGATGCAGGAGGCACGGCGCTACGATGATGCCGTGGCCCATGCCATCGCCACGGCTCAGGAAAGCACCCACACGCCCACCACCGCCAGCAGTGCAGCAGCGGGTGCAGCACCAGGGGCGTGGGCAGCGGTGGGGCATGTGGGTCCGCGGCTGCACTGGATGAACGTGTCGCTGCTGACGGCACAGCGTGCCGATGCCCACCCATGGATGGCATCGCCTGGCCGCCCCACAGCGGACTGCACCAACTGGTGCCTGCCAGGCGTGCCCGACACGTGGAACGAGCTGCTCGCTGCCACGCTGCTTAAACTCTTTGAGCGCCACTGACTCATGGCAGCGCTGCTCGGGAACACACTTGCGGTTGCAAGTGCCGCATGTGCTTGTACAGCGTTCTGCAACGCATCTGTCAGTTTAGTTATGATTGGGCTGCACTGATTCGGTTACCGTATCCCCCCGGACATAAGCGCCACCCTAGGATAAGCGCCTGGCGCTTTTAATTGGCATATGGCGCTTATATCCCCTCCTCGATTATAAGCGCACCCCCTGAAGGCTTACGTATTATAAGAGCCACTATTTTGTCAAAACATTATCAAAATAACTAGGCAAGAATGGTGCATTGAATGGAAGAATTGGGTACAAGTAGCAAACCCTAGTTGGGGTTGTACCCCATATTGGCTATCCCACTACAGCCTACCAACATAATACAGTTTAACACACCCCCATAGGCAAAGTGGGGGAGAACAAAGGGTCACAAGACCAGTCCAGCAAAGCAAAGCAAAGCCCAGGGTGGATCACAACGTCACCACACTCCGAGCACAAGCAAAGGCCACAAGGCCAGTTCACATGCAGTGCTAGATATAGAACAGGACAAGCAGCAAGATATATATAAAGTACAGTACAAAGAAAGTCAAGCAGTAAGCAAATGAGGAAACGTGGACACAAGGCCTAAAGAAGTACAGTGCCGCTGATGATCACTAGGCGGGAGCGCCTTGGTGAAGATATCAGCAGTATTGGCCTTCGAGTCCACGTACACAAGCCGAAGCTGACCGCGCTGCTGAAGCTCTCGAGCAAGAAAGTAGCGAAGAGCAATGTGCTTTGTCCTGTGCTCCAGTCTGTGCTCCTGACACAAGGCAAGAGCCGCCTTGTTGTCACCGTACAGAACTGGAGGAGAACTAGGCCGCTCTCCCAAGTCAGTCAGCAGGTAGGTGAGCCAGCGTAACTCCTGTGCAGCCATGGCTGTGGCGTAGATCTCAGCCTCACAACTAGAGCCGAGAACAGAGGAAGAGCGGGTGGACCGCCACGAGACAGAACCAGAGCCAAGGCTGAAGGTGTAACCCTGTGACGACCGCTGCGTAGCCAGGTCGTCCACCCAAGAAGCGTCCGAGTGGCCAGTGAGGACAACTCTGTCGCGTCCTCCAAGCACCAGCCCTATGCCTGATGTACTGCACAAGTAGCGCAGCACCCTCTTAGCAGCCTCCCAGTGCTCTCGCCTGTGTCTCCCAGGCGCAACGTAACGAGCAAGGATGCTAAGAGGGTACGCGAGGTCAGGTCGCGTGCAAGTCATCAGGTACATGAGGCAGCCCACAAGCTCTGGGTACGGGCCACTCGGCTCTACGGACTCGTCCGAAGGTGGAGCTGAGAGCGAGTGGCTGGTAGCCAGAGGTGTGGCCTGTGGTGAGGAGAACTGGAAGCCGAAGCGCTGAAGGACCTGCTGCACCATGTGTGACTGAGTCAGGGTGATGGTGCGGCGAGCTCTGTCCCGGGTGATCTGCAAGCCAAGGTAGCTACGCAGTTCACCCAGGTCAGTGCAGGTGTGTCTCTTCTGCAGCTCCGACTTCACACGAGCGAGTGCCTCAGTGTCAGCAGTAGCAAAGACCAAGTCGTCGACGTACACGAGAATGTAGAACGGCGGTAGCGACGTGTCTGTGCGTAGAAACAGCGACGGGTCAGCAGTAGACGGCGCGAACCCAAGAGCTGCAAGTGTAGTCCTCAGTGTGTCGTGCCACTCACGTGGCGCCTGGCGGAGACCGTAGACTGGCCGGCGGAGGCTCCACTGGGTACCAGGAGGAAACGACCCAGTGAAGCCAGGTGGGCGGCGCAGCCAGATCTCCTCGTGCAGGGTGTGTCAGAATGTTATTATTGTCTAGCCTGTAGTGGGGTGCTCTATAGCGAGTACAACCCAGTTAGGGTTTGCTATATGTACCCCAACTGCTGCTAGTGAAAACCCTCTCTCCTTTCAATTCATTCTTGCCTAGTTCTATTCACATGCTATCAGAGCAGGTCGACCCTCCTGGGTCGATCCTGTGGGTGGGCCCACCACCTAATGCTTCCGCTGCTTTACTTCCTGCCGGGCGCCTCGGGCGCGCGACGACTTCTTCCTGCCGCGTGCGGAGCGCGCGGCGAATTTTTTCTAGGGTTTCGGCGGTTTTCATCCCGCCGTGCGCTCGGGGCGCGCGGCGGTTTTCTGCACGCCGTGCGCCCCGAGGCGCGCGGCGGTTTCCCACCGTCGAAGTGCCCCCCGTCGCCCGTCGAAGCGCCCTCCCCCCGTCGCCCGTCGAAGCGCCCCCGTCGCCCGTCGGAGCGCCCCCCGTCGCCCGCCAAAACGCCCCCGTCGCCCGTCGAAGCGCCCCTGGGACCCGCGCGCGGCCCGTACGGGCTGCGCCAGGCCCGCGCGCGGCCCGTACGGGCTGCGCCAGGCCCGCGCGCGGCCCGTACGGGCTGCGCCAGGCCCGCGCGCGGCCCGTACAGCCTGCGCGCGGCCCGTACGGGCTGCGCCAGGCCCGCGCGCGGCCCGTACGGGCTGCGCCAGGCCAGCGCGCGGCGCGGGCAGCCTGCGCGCGCCTCGTCCGTCCCCCTCTCGCCGTCCCCCGCGCTCCTGCCCCTATCCCACCCGTTTTAGGGTTTGGGGATGTAGAGTGTGGGGGTGGCGGGTGTGGGGGTGCCGGTTGTGTGCCCCGTCCCCTCCTTCTCCTCCTCCTCCGTCTCCCGCTGCTGCAGCTGCCGCTCAGGGGGGTGGTTGTGTGGGGAGCCGAAGGAGTGGTCCTAGGGGGGTGAAGGGGGAGTGGAGCTAGGGGCGCAGCAGGGGGTGTGTGTCGAGGGGTGTGGGACAGTTGGGGGAGGTTGAGCGGAGGTAGCCGTCGTGACGCCAGCAGCGCCAGTAGTCCGGATGCCCTCGCGCGTCTCGGTAGCCCAGCGAGCCTGCTTCGCCAGTCGCCTGTGGGTCCGTTGCTCCTGTGTGTGCTCGTCGTAGCCGCGGAGCCAGATACTCCCGTAGTCCGGTGCCCTCGTGCGCTCGGTAGCCACTGTGCGCGCCGCTCCTGTTGCCCGTGTGTCTGCAGCTTCAGTCGGCGCCTTTCATCTTCTCGCCCTCACAGTTTCTCCTCCTCCTCACTTGCCCTCTATGATCACCTCTAGCTTTGCTTATAATTGTGAACTATTGCTATGCCTGCTCATTGTACTGATTACACCCCACTTTGGCTATGGGGGTGTGTCAGAATGTTATTATTGTCTAGCCTGTAGTGGGGTGCTCTATAGCGAGTACAACCCAGTTAGGGTTTGCTATATGTACCCCAACTGCTGCTAGTGAAAACCCTCTCTCCTTTCAATCATTCTTGCCTAGTTCTTCTCACAGGCTGCCCTGCAGGAACGCTGTGCTGAAGTCAAGAGAGTGAAGCTCGTAGTCACGGTGAGCAGCAACGTGTAGCAGAACCCGAAGAGTGGTCATCTTCGGGGTGGGGGAGAAGGTCTGGAAGAAGTCAACCCCCTGACGCTGACTGAAGCCTCTAGCAACGTAACGAGCCTTGAAGACAGGTGGAGAACCTGGCGGCCGCTTCACCCTGAAAATCCACATGCCATCGACGATGTTCGCCCCAGGAGGGGGAACCTCGTCGACGTAGGTGCCTGTGGACTTCCAGGATGCCATCTCTGCGTCCACGGCTGTCTGCCACTGAGAGGAGTAGGGACCCGAGATCGCCTCTGCGTAAGAGCGCGGAGTGGGGATGTCTAGTGCATCCGGGTCTCCCTCAGGGGCAAGCAGCCAGGCCATGAGATGAGGTACAGCAGCCGCAAGAGAGTCAAAGTCCTCCTGCCTGTCCTCAAGGACGTCCGTGCCAAGAGCACACTCACCCCCGACGGACGGAGGACAGACAGACTCAGACCCGGCAACAAGACTGGCGGCGTAGTCTAGACGACAGGCAGCAGCAAAGTCGACAAGCTCAGCGACCAGGGCAGACGCAGCAGCAGACTCAAACGACGGGTCAGTGACAACAGTGGCGAGAAGACGCGTAACAGTAGGGTGGGCAGCACGAACACTGTCAGACTCAGGGTCGGGAACGTCAGGAAGAGAAGACGCAGGAGGAGACGGTAGGGGGACACGCTGTGGACCAGTGGAAGGACGAAGGGCCATAATATGCGTGCCAGGAACAGGAGGAGGACGCGGACGCGCGACACGACGACCAGTGGGACCAGTGCGCGCAGTGCGAGCAGCGCGAGCAGCGCGAACAGGCGAGGCAGGACGAGACGCAGGCTCACGACGCTCCGTAAGCGAGTCCGGCTGTGCAGTGTAAGGCACAGGAGCAGGGAGGGGGGAGCCAGGCTGAAGGGGAAGGCCAGTGGAAGACGGGAGGGAAAGAACCTGGCGAAGCACCGTGTCAGGCGGCGGCAAAGCCGACGGCGACGGAGGAGCGAAGAACAGGCGCGACGGCGGAGCTCCGCCAGCACCTCCAGCACCCGGAGCACCAGAAGCACCTGGACCAGCACCCTCCGCCGCAGCACCCCCCGAGTCGGCGACGTCAGCACCAGAGGCCCCAGCAGCGTCAGACCTCCCCTCGCCAGCACCTCCAGAACCAGCAGGACCACCGTGTCCAGAACCGTCAGCTCCAGTGTCGTCAGCTCCAGCAGCTCCAGTACCGTCAGGAAGAGCACCCCCAGACGCAGCAACCCCAGGCTCCGTAGGCTCAGCAGCAGCACCCCCAGGCCCAGTACCCTCAGGCGCAGTACCCCCAGGCTCAGCACCCCCAGACTCCGTACACGCAGGCTCAGCACCCCCAGTCGTAGCACCCCCAGGCTCAGCACCCCCAGGCGCCGAACTCCCAGGCACAGTACCCTCAGCTCCAGCACCCGCAGTCCCAGCACTCCCAGGCCCAGCACCCGCAGGCTCAGCACCCCCAGGCTCAGCACTCCCAGCAGCACCACCTGCAGCAGCACCTGAGTCACCTGTGACCTCGACAGGCTCAGCAACGGGAGGAGGGTCTACCTGAGAGACACCTGAAGGAGCAGGACCCTGAGGGGGAAGGGGGTCTACCGGAGGGGGACCAGGAGCAAGGAAAAGCGGCGGGGGAGGGAGGGGGGCAGTGCGGTAGGGGAAGAGACGGTAAAAGGGGACCGACTCGTCAAAGGTGACATCCTGAGAGGCGAAGACCCGGCGCGAGGTGGGGTGGTAAAACTGCCAGCCCGGCGCGTCAGGGACAAAGCCAAGGAAGACACAGGGAAGTGTGCGGGAGGAGAGCTTGTCCGCGGACGTATCGCGGACAAGGGCACGAGCACCCCACACCCGGAAGCGCGACGCATCGCCAACCTCCCCCGTCCAACGCAGTGTGGGAGAGGTCTCCGGCAAGGAGACACGGGGCCAGAGGTTGAGCTGATGCGCGGCGTACCGGACAGCAAACGGCCACAGAAAATGGGGAGCCGCCGCGTGGACCAAGGAGGTACGAGCGACCTCCATGACCAGGCCAATGCGGCGCTCAGCAACCCCATTCTGCTGTGGGGAGTCCGGAAGCGTGAAGGTCTGCTCGATGCCCTCCGCCTGACAGAAGGTCCTCAAGAGATCGGAGGAAAACTCACCACCTCTGTCAGAGTGCAGACGCAGGACAGGAAGATCCGTCCGGAAACGGCGGTGGAGCTGGAGACGAACTGTGCGGATCCAAGGGATCAGAACAGCAGGGACCTCACCCTTGGTGCGCAAGGGGAAGACCGTGGTGTAACGCGAGTAGTCGTCGACAACCAGCAAAAAGTACCGCTCACCGCCCTGGCCACGAACGCGGGCTGGGCCCCACACGTCCAGGTGGAGGGTCTGCAGAGGAGCCTCTGTCGGGGGGAACGAGGAGGAGTGAGGAGCGGCGCGCTGCCGCCCCTCGACGCAAGGAAGGCAAGGCGGCGCAGGCGAGGCAGGGAGGGGAGGGAGAGACCTGGGAAGACCAGACACAAGGCGGCGACGGTGCATGCCACGGAGGCGTGGCAAGGAGGGGTGACCCAGGCGGTGGTGCCAGAGAAGAGTCTGGTGTGACAGGGAACGACACTCACAGGCGTGGGCCACCAGACCTGACGCGGACACCTGACCGACAGCAGCGACCTGAGGAGACGCAGTGGTCAGTGTGTAGAGACTCGACCCCGGCCGACGGGTAAACGTAGCCAGGTGACGGCCGGTCCTGGAGCACGTGCAGATCGCCACACGCTGTCCTCCAGGGGTAAAGGTGTCAACCCACTGATCCTGGATGACAGCGTTGCTCACCAGGTTCGTCGAGAACGAGGGGAGGTGGAAACCCGACAACGAGCCAGACGGAACCGCCGGACAAGGGAGCACAGTGGTGGACTGGGCAAGGACTGGGCCCCCAGAGGGGTCAGCCAAGGAGACTGGGACCGGTGCAGGAAGCGGTGTGAGCTCAGTACTGTCACGAAAGAAACAGCGGGAAGCACCTGAGTCAAGGGTGAAGGTGTGACAGGCCTCAGCCGGTGCGGTACCTGAGAGAGCAGTCTCTGTGGGTGCTGTACCTGAGAGAGCAGACTCGCAAACAGCCGGGACAGCACTGGAGGGAGCAAGTACAGGGGGCACCATACCGGAGAGAGCAGACTCACTAGTACCCAGGGCAGCGGGCTCTATACCTGGGTCAGGCGGCACACACAAGTAACAGTCTCCCTCGGCACTAACAGTCAATGCATACATGGCAGCAATAATAGCATCAAAGTCAAGAGCAAAGATATCAACACCAGCCCTCATGAGCTCAGCCCAGCGGGGGCGCTCAACATCCTCGCCCATCTCCTCACGCCAAGCGTCGTCAAGGCGGGAGAAGCAGCGGTACGGGGTGTGGAACCTCCCACACGTCTGTCCCTTGCGGTCACCTGTGCGAATGACATAGGAACAGCGGCCATTGCCCCCCGACGTCCCACGCTGAGCAAGCCACTCACGAAGCTGCTGGGTCGTCTGGGGACGCTGCTGCTGCTGGGAGCTCTGGCCCGAGCCAGTGCCTCCACTCCGACCTCCGCCACCACCACTACCTCCGCTCCGACCGCCACCGCCGCCGCCGCCACCGCCGCCGCCGCCGCCACCGCCGCCGCCGCCACCACCGCCACCGCTCCCTCCGCCGCCCCCGCCTCCGCTGCCGACCCCACTCCCACCAGCACTCCCGCCACCGCTCCCTCCAGCACCGCCTCCCCCCCCACCTCCCCCACCTCCTCCCCCCCCAGCGCCACCCCCGCCACCCTTGCCCCCCTTGCCCTTGCCGGTGCGGCGCCTCCCACCAGGAGCAGAAGCAGCGCCAGCAGACTCAGCACCAAGGAAGTCAACAGCAGCAGCAGTAGCGTAGGAGGGAGCGAGGGGAGAGGGAGAACACCCCTCAAAGATGGGGGTGCGAGGAGCGCCACGAGCAGCACCGACAGCTACAATGCTCTTTTCGGCCGCTAGCAGCTGCTCCTCTAGGAGGGCGACAGTGAGCTCAGTGGGACAGCGAGCAAGGAAGTGGTCTCGAACTGAGCTGAGGGTGTCAGGGAGTCGGGTGACTATGAAGTGGAGTGTCCAGTACAGTGGAGGGGGGTTCTTAGCGCAGAACTCGGTGGGAAGGGCAGCACGCAGGCGAGCATCACTAGTGCGAAGGTGGGTGATAAGATCGGCGACTGTAGCAAAGGTGGACAGCTCAGGGAACAGGTACGGCAGCATGAGGCGGCTAAGCTCGGCTGTGGCAGGCGAGGAGTAGCGAGCAACGACAGCATCGTACAGGGCCTTAGCGGATTTGCAGTCGCCAAAATGCTCGAGTTCAGCTAGCGGGAGGTGACTGCGAATGGCTAGGCGAGCAGCTGCGTCACGAGTCTGCCAGTGGGAACGAACACTAAGCTCAGCTGTGGCAGGAGGGGCAGGTGCAGCACCAGACGCGTAATCATAGAGCGACACATGCTCCTTGCTATCGCTCAGAAGGAACAGCTGCAGGTCATCCAGCCAAGTGGCGAACTTCACAGGGCGGCCCTCAGCATCGAACGACAGCACGCGGATGGAAGCCATAGTGACAGTGCGACTGAGCAAAGGAAGCTGCCGCAGCGCTGCAGGTAGGTAGCTCGGCGGGAAGCGCGGCGGGCGGGCGACTCGGCGAGCGGGCAGTGCGGGGGGCGGGCTACGAAGCGGGCAGCGCGGTGGGCAGGCGGCGCTGCAGGCGGGAAGTGCGGCGGGCGGGCTGCGAAGCGGGCAGCGGGGCGGGCGGGCGACGCGGCGAGCGGGCAGCGCGGCGGGCGGGCTGCGAAGCGGGCAGCGGGCGGGCGGGCGACGCTGCAAGCGGGCAGCGGGCGGGCGGGCGACGCTGCGAGCGGGCAGCGCGGCGGGCGGGCTGCGAAGCGGGCAGCGGGCGGGCGGGCGACGCTGCAAGCGGGCAGCGAGGCGGGCGGGCGACGCTGCGAGCGGGCAGCACGGCGGGCGGGCGACGCTGCGAAGCGGGCAGCGGGCGGGCGGGCGACGCTGCGAGCGGGCGGCTCGGCGGGCGGGCGACGCTGCGAGGGGCGCGCGAGGGCGCTAACGAGAGGCGCACGAGGGCGCTAACAAGGGCGCGCGAGGGCGCTAGCGAGGGCGCGCGAGGGCGCTAACGAGAGGCGCACGAGGGCGCTAACGAGGGCGCGCGAGGGCACTAACGAGGGCGCACGAGGGCACTAACGAGGGCGCACGAGGGCGCTAACGAGGGCGCACGAGGGCGCTACGAGGCTAGGGCACGGGGTAGCGTGGTAACCGCATGCGAGCGGTGGTGGGCCCTTAAAAAAAACGGTCGGTAGGTCCTAGGGACCTCCTGCTCTGAATACCATATCAAAATAACTAGGCAAGAATGGTGCATTGAATGGAAGAATTGGGTACAAGTAGCAAACCCTAGTTGGGGTTGTACCCCATATTGGCTACCCCACTACAGCCTACCAACATAATACAGTTTAACAAACATATGCATGTTAGTATCTAGGCTATATTGGGGCTAGCCTTAAGGGGTACAGAAACTCACTCGACACTCTAGTCTTGTACCCCAACCTCCACCTAATGAGACACATACTCTTCTCATTCTAACATGGCATCAGAAGCCTAGGTTAGGAACCTAGGACCACCTTGTACTAAGGGCCCGCCCTTCCGCTAGCGCCCTCGAGCGCCTTCTTCCTTTCGTGCGCCCTCGCGCGCCTCGTTTCCTGGTCGCGTAGCCCGCTAGACGACCGCGCGCGGCCCCCTTTTTGCCCGCGCGCGGCCTCGTTTTTTGCCCGCTAGCAGCCTGCGCGCGGCCCGAATCGCGTGCGCGACGACCATAGGCCGCTCGCGCGGCTCGATCCGCCCACGAGCAGGTCGCTAGCCGCCCGTCGGCCCGCCCGTAGGGCTTCGCGTCGCCCGTAGGCCGCCGCCCCTGCTTTCGTAGCCGCTGCCTGCGCGCGAGTGCAGCCCACGCCCGACCGCTCGCCCCTAGGACGGCGCTCGTAACGCCGCCGCCCGCCCGCAGGTCGCAGCCCGCGCGCAGTGGCGATCGCGCGTCGGCTGCTGCAGCTCGCGCTTAGCTGCAGCTCGTGCTTAGCTGCAGCAGGACCCCAGCCGCGGCCTGCGTGCAACTGCAACCCTAGGCGCCGCCGCGCACCGTGCATAGGCCCGCCGTTGCGCTGCCCTACCTGCCCGAGCCGCGCCGCCCTGACTGAGCCTACTGTTTAGGGTTTAGGGTTTTGCAGCACCTACTGTCCCTGTTCCTGCTGTTACAGCTGTTCTTCTCACTACAGTTGTTCCTACTACTGCTCTTACTGCCGCTACTGCCACTATGGCTACACCCACAGTTCTCTCTTTCGATGCTGAGGGCCGTCCGCTCCAGTTTGATGCTTGGCTTGACGATCTCCACCTTTTCCTCCAGATCACCGCTAAGGATGACGTCTCGCTGTATGACCACGCGTCCGGAACCGCTCTCGCACCTGCTGACACTGCTGACAGTACAGCTCGCTCCCAGTGGCAGACTCGTGACGCCCACGCTCGCCTAGCCATTCGCAGCCACCTGCCGTTAGATGAGCGCGCGCACTTTGGCCAGCACAAGACTGCTAAGGAGCTGTACGATGCAGTAGTCGCCCGCTACTCCTCACCTGCCTCCGCTACGATAGGCCGTCTCTCTCTGCCCTATCTTTTCCCCGATCTCGCCGCCTTTCCCACAGTCGCTGACCTCATTACACACCTCCGCACCAGTGACACTCGCTTCCGAGCCGCCCTCCCTGCTGAGTTTCTCGCCAAGAACCCCCCACCGATGTACCTCGTTCTCTACCACCTAGTCACCCGTCTCCCTGACTCTCTTCGCGCAGTCAGGGACCACTTTCTCGCCCTCTGCCCTACCGAGCTCACCATTGACCTGCTCGAGAAGCATCTGCTTGCAGCTGAGGCTAGTATAGTTGCTGTAGGTGCCTCTCGTGGCGACCCCCGCACGCCCTTCTTCGACGGGTGTTCCCCTTCCCCCCTTCTCCCCTCGGTTGCCTCTGCTGCCGCTGTCGACTTCCTCGGTGCTGAGGACGTCGGGGCTGCGTCTGCTCCTAGCTGGAGGCGCAAGAGCGGCAAGGGCAAGGGGGGCAAGGGTGGCGGCGGTACCAGTGGGGGAGGTGGGGGTGGCGGTGGAGGTGGAGGCGGTGGGGGTGGTGGCGGTGGTGGGGGTGGTGGCGGGGCTGGGGGGGTCAGTGGCAGCGGCGGGGGTGGCAGCGGCGGGGGTGGTGGCGGCAGTGGTGGTGGGGGAGGCCGGGGTGGAGGTGGTGGTGGTGGCGGCAGTGGGCGTGGTGGCGGCGGCTCGGGTGGTGGTCGGGGTGGACCAGCGCAGCGTGGAGGCTCGGGTGGTGCCCAGCGCCAGCAGCAGCGTCTTGGAGAGACCCCGTCGTCCCAGCAGCTTCGTGAGTGGTACTCTCAGCATGGGGGGTCTGGGGGTGGAGGCACCTGCACGTATGTCATCCGCACCGGTGACCGCGCTGGTCAGACGTGTGGGCGTTTCCACACGCCGCACCGCTGCTTCTTTCGTCTAGACGATGCCTGGCGTGCACAGTTCCCGGAGGCCTCTGAGCTGCCCCGCTGGGCTGATCTGCTTAAAAAGAACATTGATGTATTTGCACTTGACTTTGATGTTATTCTTGGAGCCATGTATGCATTGACTATTAGTGTTGAGGGTGACTGTTACTTGTGTGTGCCACCAGACCCAGGCATTGCGACCAGTGAGGCTGCCGCTCTAGGTGCTAGTGCGTCCGCTGCCCCAGGTCCTGGTGAGACAACTGCTCTAGGTGCAGGTGTGTCTGCTGCCCCAGGTGCTTGTGAGGCTGCGCCTTCAGGTACAGCGTCTACTGCGGCACTGCACACCTTCACCCTGGACTCAGGTGCTTCCCGCTGTTTCTTTCGCGACCGCACTGCCCTCGAGCAGCTTCCTAGACCGGTTGCTGTCTCCCTGGCTGACCCCTCCGGGGGTCCGGTTCTTGCGACCTCCTCCACTGTCCTCCCGTGTCCTGCGGTCCCGTCTGGCACCCTGTCAGGTCTTTACCTCCCCTCGTTCTCTACGAACTCTGCTCTACAGGACGGGGGTGTTCACCAGTTCACCCCTGCCTATGAGCGTGTGACCCACTGTACGTGTGCCCGGACGGGTCGCCACCTTGCTACCTTCACTAGGGAGCCGGGGTCGGACTTGTACACACTGACCACTGAGTCCCCTCAGGTCGCTGCGTCTGCGTCTGCGTCAGGTCAGCTGTCGGCCCCCTGCTTGTGTCGCTCCCTGTCCCACCAGACTGTCCTCTGGCACCACCGCCTTGGTCACCCGTCAGTGCAGCGCCTTCGCGGCATGCACCGTCGCCTCCTTGTCTCTGGTCTTCCCCGGGTTCTCCCTCCCCTCCCACCCTCGCCTGCGCCTCCCTGTCTTCCCTGTGTCGAGGGGCGGCAGCGCGCCGCTCCTCACTCCTCCGAGTTTCCCCCGACAGAGGCTCCTCTGCAGACACTCCACATGGACGTGTGGGGCCCCGCCCGCGTCCGTGGACAGGGCGGGGAGCGCTACTTTCTGCTGGTTGTCGATGACTACACGCGTTACACCACGGTCTTCCCCTTGCGCACCAAGGGTGAGGTCCCTGATGTCTTGATCCCTTGGATCCGCGCTACCCGTCTCCAGCTGGAGAGGCGCTTTCGCTCGGACCTTCCAGTCCTGCGACTGCACTCTGATAGAGGTGGTGAGTTTTCCTCCGACCTCTTGAGAGCCTTCTGTCAGGGGGAGGGCATTGAGCAGACGTTCACGCTTCCGGCCTCTCCGCAGCAGAATGGGGTTGCTGAGCGCCGCATTGGCCTGGTCATGGAGGTCGCTCGTACCTCCTTGGTCCATGCGGCTGCCCCCCACTTTCTGTGGCCGTTTGCGGTACGGTACGCCGCGCATCAGCTCAACCTCTGGCCCCGTGTCTCTGACCCGGACACCTCGCCGACACTGCGTTGGACGGGAGAGGTTGGCGATGCGTCGGTGTTTCGAGTCTGGGGATCTCGTGCCTTTGTCCGCGATGCGTCCGCGGACAAGCTCTCCTCCCGTACCCTCCCCTGTGTCTTCCTTGGCTTTGTCCCTGACGCGTCTGGCTGGCAGTTTTACCACCCTGCCTCGCGCCGTGTCTTCCCTTCTCAGGACGTCACGTTTGACGAGTCGGTCCCCTTCTACCGTCTCTTCCCCTACCGCACTGCCC